TTTTTTTCATCATTTGCTAATTTGATTCATGGGTTACATTGTATTGCTCTCAATTCCTTGTGCACTTTGCTTCCTGTGGTTGAATTGTTTTGTGGGCATTTGTTACTCTTCTTTGTATAATGCAGATCAAGAAAAAGATAGGATTTTTTATTTGCCTGGGCAGCCTGATAATGTTGGATTTAGTCAGTACTCAGGTTATATAACTGTGAATCAGAAAGCTGGGAGGGCATTGTTTTACTGGTTAACTGAGTCACCGAAAGAAAGAGGGCCTGAAAACAGGCCACTTGTTTTGTGGCTCAATGGAGGCCCTGGTTGCTCCTCTGTTGCTTATGGAGCTTCTGAAGAAATCGGACCTTTTCGAATTAATTCAGATGGGAAAACCCTTTACCTCAATCCTTATTCTTGGAATAAATGTATGTGACTATTGTGGTATTGAGAAGTGTACATTGTGTTAATTTTGATTTGTTTAAAATTGTGTACATTTAGCTTTTCAAGATTCTTAGATTTTTTTTTTTTATTTTTTTTTTAATTGCAGTGGCAAATTTGCTTTTCCTTGAGTCACCAGCTGGAGTTGGTTTCTCTTATTCAAACACTTCATCAGATTTGTACACTGTAGGAGACAAACAAACAGGTAATGCCTCAAGAAAAAAAAAAAAATGGATCTTGATTCTTAAAAATAGCTCTTTTTAGTGGAAAATATCATTGTTTTGCTTAGACTAAATTTTATTAAAAGTTTCTGTTGTGGTTATTTTTTGATTTCTAGCCGAGGATGCATATGCGTTTCTGGTGAGTTGGTTCGAGAGATTTCCTCAATACAAGCATAGAGATTTTTACATCACTGGAGAAAGTTATGCAGGTCTTTAATTATAAAATATCTCCTCTTACTATTTGTATGCATAGGAGAATTACGTAATTTCGGGTTTTATGCTCGTTTTTTCAGGTCACTATGTTCCTCAGCTATCTCAGCTCATATACGAAAGAAATAAGGGACTTGAAAAGCCAGTTATTAATTTCAAGGGATTCATGGTAAAATAGTTGTAGTTTGAATTGCTGTGAGACTGTTTTGTGAATACTTGACTTAATGCGACTCTGTATAATTAGGTGGGAAATGCTGTTATTGATGATTATCACGATTATATTGGCACGTTTGAGTATTGGTGGACTCACGGTTTGATCTCGGACTCAACTTACAAAGTCCTTCGATTAACGTGTAATTTGGGATCTGCCACTCATCCCTCCAGCGATTGTGTTAAGGCCCTCGAATTAGCTAATCAAGAAACGGGGAACATTGACCCTTATAGCATTTATACCTTACCCTGCAATACTACTTCTTCTTCACTCAGGCGCCGATTAAGAGGTCACTATGTAAGTCTTAATATAAATTTTTCTTCTAAAAAGATATTACCAAACTATTTGGGGAAAAAAACTGAAATTCAGAACAAAAAATAAATGAATGTGCTAATTAGATGATTATATTGAAATTGAAACCTGTCTCTTATTTTTTCTTCAATGAAGTGAAAAAATTAAATCTTTGATTGTCTAATATATGATAATGGGGTATATATTCAGGTGCCCTATTTTGTTACATGAAGTGAATTCACCTTTCATGAATGAAATTTTGGTGTGCCATTTTGTTATAACTTTTATGATTTGACTGAATCTTTACTTTGATCGAAATATAGCCATGGATGTACAGAGCATATGATCCATGCACCGAAAGGTACTCACAGATTTACTTTAATCTCGATGAGGTTCAAAAGGCATTTCATGCGAATGTAACGGGTATTTCTTACCCGTGGCAGTCGTGCAGGTAATTTTCGAAATTTTTCATTTTCCTCTTCTACTTTATTGTGAGAAAAAAAGGCCTCGTTTCGAATCAAACTTTCATCAATTTGCAGCGATATAGTTGGTAATTATTGGGCAGATTCTCCTCTGTCTACTCTTCCAATTTATCAAGAGCTAATAGCAGCAGGTGTAAGGATTTGGGTATTTAGGTATGTCTTCTTGTTTTCTTGGTTGTATTTGCTCCAATCACCAAATTAAATTTGGCAAATTTAATTCTATTTTTTTCTTGGCTAGTTTTACTTCTTTTTGTTAGACAAGGAACACAAATTATACTTTATAACTTGCTTAATTAGTAGTTCAAACTTCTAAAGGATAATATAGGACTTAATAACATGTTTTTGCTGTATGATCTGCTNACGAATAATTAAATTAACTCCCATAATATAAATATTGTTAATTTCATTCTTCCTGGTTAAATTTATTGCAAAATTATAATTTGGAGAAATACTTACATGATATATCCTTATAGGTTGGTGGGTGGAGCCAAATATATAAAGGTTTAACCCTTGTGACTGTTACTGGGGCAGGCCACGAGGTGCCCTTACACCGGCCACGGCAAGCTTTTATCCTTTTCCGATCATTTTTGGAGAATAAACCTATGCCCACCTGAATTTTTACACGTGCATTTTGCAGAATAAATACTTGAGTCTATGTATTATATTGCAGTATATTTAATTTTTTTATTCACCAGATTACAATAATTTTGTTTCTGTACTAAGTTCGTTAAACATCTGATGTGTAAACTATATAGTAGTAAAGCTAGCTGCTTCGTTTGTATTGTAATTATGTTGAAAGTGAAAAACACCCACTTTTGCTTTCATGATTTGAATTGATTTGAATGTACTTTGGTTCAAATCCTGGCTTCTTTTTATGCAGCCCGTATGGGACTTTTGTTATAAACAAGCTACTTGCTATTTTAATCCATATACAAATATCCTTTTCATGATGGATTATAACTGAAATTAAAATTAATGCTTGTAAAAGGCTAATTTATTTCCGCATAATATGAGCATTAATTAAATTCTTGTATCTTTTTTGGTCAATAATGTTGGAAAAAATCAGTTATAAACTTGGGTTTTACTCGGTTTTGATTGAATTTTTTATAGAAAAATTATACGTTTTGAGCAGACCCTCGTGGTATATTTATTTTCTCAAAACCAATTTTTGGTAAGTGAGAAATAAATAATTAAAATTAGCCATAAATGGACTCGTCGGCCGACTGGCTCGGCTTGGGCCTGTGCCTTGGTCCTTAGACTGTGGGGTGGCCTTGGACGGTATAGGGCTTGGTGCAGGGCTTGGACCTAAGGCCCAACTACTAGTTATTTTTTTGTTAGCAAATTTATTTGTAATTGTGGCTCAAATTGAAATCCAAATCAAGTTGGATTTGGACTCGAGGTTTTTCCTTAACTCGAGTGAGATTTCTCCAAGTACATTGAACTTGGACATTTAAATCAACCTGATTGTTTCAAGTAGAGTGTTAACACCTGAAAAAACCCAGAGATCTTTTCATTTTTCTTTTCTTCTCCTTGATTTGAAGTTTGTCCATGGTTCATTCTCCGTCATCGTCTTTCGGAACCCGAATACATAATAATTCAACCTCAAAATTACCTGATATAATATTACGTGCTCAATTTAAATAATATGCACAACGATGATTAAAAAACTTCACATATAATTACACAAAGCACCTTGGATCAGGTCTACTATGTACTGTCCACGGGATAAGTACATAAATGGTTGTACCAATCAAGTTGCAGAACAAATGGAACTATAAAAGAATCAAATAGTTGATAAGATTTATTATTATTATTATTATTATTATTATTATTATTATTTTCTTTTTGGTGAGGAGAAAAGAAATGCTTTGTAAGGAAGCAAAATTGGGCTCCACGATTATATGTGATATGACGAAATGCTCCTTTGGTCCTACTATTCTTGCCTTGGACCTCTATACTGCGATCTTTGATTGGAGACTTTATTCTTTTTTCTTTTCTTTTTATTTGAGTAAATGAAATGAAATTCTCTTTGCCGAATATTAACTGAAGCAATTTTGATAATACGAAAGGCAGTGGGGATACTATACTAGCTAGTGGGATTACAAAATACGAGAGCTCAATATATATTAATTTACGTCCCAATCTTAGAAAACAAATTGTGCTCAATATATTAATTTTACTATATTTTTTTCTTTTATAATATTTTTCTCATCATTAAAGTACGATCGAGTGAAACAATTTCAGTAGACCTTGCATTTAAAAGTATGATGATCGGGTAATTATTAACAAATTTATGCAATAAACACGC